TCTGTCATAATTGATTATACTGGTAACATAATCAATTATGACAATTCAAATTTGAAAAATATATTTGTTTTGAAGAATAAATGTTTTTGAATATATCCTGATTTTTATTCACGAAAATATTAATGTCCAACGGCCATTTTCTTATGTTAATTTTTTATTTAATTAAGTTTTAATGAAAAATAAAAAACACACAATTACAAAATTCGAAAATACAATTAACATTCAATCAGTTTTGAGAAAAGAAATCTGAACAAGGCAACAAAGATATTTTACACCTTCTGAGAAAACTCTCTTCTCTATTGTCTTCTGTGCTTTCATTGTTAATCACATTTGTTATTGGAGATTGACATTCTACAGGCTTTTATAATTTGTTGTCTCCATTACCCAGGTATGACTATTCTTATCTTACTCCTTCATCCTTTGTGGGTTTATGAGGTGTTTTCATCCCTTTGATTTGTTCAGGGAGGTGTTCATCCTTAGTGGAATTTTAAAGAGGTGTTTTTCATTCTTTGATTTATTTCAGAGGAGGTGTTCATCCCTAGTGGGATTCTAAGGAGATGTTCATCCTTAGTGAGTTTCTAAGGAGGTGATTGTCTTTTTAATTAGTTTACTTTTTACTGGTTTTTCTACTGGGTTGATTATAATTTGTAAACTGAATTTTAAAGATAGCGAATTGAGAGTCACTCTTGTGTTAAGAGTTGATTGAGAACTGGATATAGGGTTGACTATATCCGAACTTGTATAAATCACTGTGTGTTCTTCTCTTTCCTTTATCTCTTTCTCTTTTCCTGATTATATTATCGTTTTCGCTTTATCTATGTTCAAACAATTTATTGACTCACAAATTAATTTTTAATTTGACATCTATTAAAATTTGTGCATCTATTCACCCCTTCTAGATGTCATTTGTTTAACAAAATGAATCTTTTACACAATGATACATGAATGAGTAGAAGTATTATCTAACTACATTTTTATATTGTTTACTTTTTAAAAAATAAATATTATTTTTTTCTCTTTATATTATTACAAGTTATTGCTCTGGTAAATGTAACATAAAAGACATAGAATTTATATTAATAATAGTGTATATAATATAGAAAAATATAAATTATCATATTTTATTTTAAAAATGATTCTTTAACATTGATCATATATTTCTACAATTTTTTTTGTATATATTTAGTCTCAGTTCATTTTGCTGTTTTGTTAATACTGTAAAATTATTTGATGAAATATACATGTGTAATATATTATATGAAGAAGAAATATTATTAATAATGTTTTAATTATGATAACATAAATATATGTGTAAATGTCTGTCAACAAGTGTAAATGTCTGTCAAATAGTATTAAATTGTGGGTAAAATATATATTTTAAGTATAAAAAATTAAAATTAAAAAAACAACAACAAAATTTAGAGATAGCTTATTGAAATGTTGAAATATAATTTTTCATATATATATATATATATATATATATATAATAGTTATTAAATATTTTATCATTTAATATTTATTAAAAATTTCTTTTACATAAATTATATATAATTTTATATTAATTTTAAAATTATTTAATATTTTACTTACACTAATCAATCTTATAAATAATATATTTGAAAAACACTTAAATAAAATATATGTTCATTTATTTATTTGACTAAATTTATTTCTTTTTGATATATATAACCTTTTTCCTCGTTCTCTACTTTTTTTTATTATTCTTTTTTTCTCTTTTCATTATCTTTCTTTTCCATATAACGGTTTCTATTTTAAAATACCTCTTCTACTATTTATTTTAATTGAAAATATTATATTAAATTAAATAAAAAATTAAAATATAGGTTAAAGTTTTTCATTAATATTAGTTATTAGAAAATATCAAATAATTATTTAAATTTTTTTAAAATTATAAAGGCAATAAATAATTATTTTTAAATTATTTTTATCATAATAAATTAATTAATTATTTAATTAAAAATATTAAATATTTTATGAATTGAATTTATTTTTTTATTTAATAATTTAATATAGTTATAATTAAGTTGTATTTTTATTTAAAAAAATATATTATAAAAAAATATTAATTTTTCTCTTAATAATTATAACATAATAATAATAATGGTAATACCTCAAGATCTATATAATAATTTTTAATTTAATATAGTAAAATATAGTATTTTTGAATAATTAAAATATTTATATTTTCTACAAATAATAAAATATCTATTATATCAAATTTTAATATTAATTTTTTAATTAAACAAAATAAGAGGCAGTGAGAAAAGTTTAAAAATAACAAAAGACATAAAGAAAAAAATAACAACAAACCGTGAAAGAAGAGAGATAACAAAAATAAATAATGAATCAGACTAGAGAAAATAAGAGAATAAGTGAAGAGAAAGAAAAACAATTATATTAGACAGATTTATTTTTCATAATAAAGTTTTGTGTATAAATACGAAAATAGTTTAGTTGAATAAATAATTGATAAAAATTATATTTGAGTAAATTTTTATTAAAATATATTATTTAAATGAGTCATTTTTTAAAAACAAATCAAACTTAACATAATGTATTTTAAAAAATATAAATAAAACATAAAATATGTTATCTTATTAATTTAACAAGTATTATTATTATTATTATTATTATTATTATTATTATTATTAAATTATCTTATTTCTTGTAATAATCCTAAATTTTGCTGGTGCACTTTTTCTTTCAATTTGATTCATATTTTTTTATAATATAATGCGTTACTCGAAGGAGTCCAAAATCCCAATAATACAATGTTAGGGACATCTTCAGTGGAAGTTAGCTAGATGAGGCATGCTAAGAACGGTAAACAGATTTGGTATACATTTGCTCTATCCGTCGGTCAAATTGTTGCTTAGAAACAAGAGATTAGTTTAGGGTATGAAGACGCAAATTATTGACAAGTTTTAATCTTCCAAAGTGAAAGTAACAAGTAATAATATGTTATTCCTTTGCATCTGAATTTGGAATGGATGTGTACTACTAATACATGTCCATTAAAGTTAATTAGTTGTTATGCTCCCCATGTGAGTCTATATGTAATGGCCTTTCCAAAAACATTGTTTTTTTAATACAAGTTTCGAATTTAAATCGTCCACTGATCCCCATTTATACGGAAACTCGTAAGAGAAAAATATTAAATTATTTTTTCTAATTCAAACGTTAAATTAAAAATATATATTGAATAAATTAAGTTTTAAAAAAATAGTAGTATATTTTGAGAAAGAATGAGAAGGGTATTAATGGAAAAGAAATTGTGTACTTGCCACGTGGTGAAAGTGAATTATTTGCAGAAAGATAGAAAAGAGAAACATGTCAGAAGTTGAATGCAACGTGTCGCCTTTCAAATAATTTGTTTTAAATTAAGATAAAGCACACACGTCATTTTCTTACTATATTTGGAGACTGTGCCCTAAGAATACCAAACACGCCCCTTCATGTTTATCAGCTTCTCCTAAAAACTTGGATTTTGATGTTTGTAAGATCAACTCATATTTTACTTAAAATAGCTATTTTTATGTGGTAAAAAACTTAACTAAAATGTAACTTCAATTGATTTTATTACACCTTGTTGTAACTTTTTCCCATCATTTTCTTCCTCTTTGTCATTTTTTATTTTATTTGAAGGTCTCGGAAACTTTGGCATTGAAAATGAAAAGTTAACCAAATCTTGGAACGGATATGTGTCAATAAATAAGAATAAAGGGAAAGCAAATAAAGTAAATCAATAATAGAGAAGGGTTTATAAAACATACATATTTGTAGAAACATTTCACGTCATTATTTGTTGCCGAAAATGTAAACTATCTATCAGTCAAAGAAGAAACATATGATAGAGAAAAATAATAATATACACGTCAAATTTTTCTATAACCCCCGTGGTTTTCTTTAAATATTATATCAAACCTATTTAATAATAAATAGAAAAATAATATTAAAAAAATGGCATTGATATAATATTTGTAGGTGGGGTAAATAAATCATATATATAATATTTTTCTAAAAGAATATTATAAACTTTTACGAATACGTAAATTCATGATAAAAATAACTATAACATCTGTCATTTAACAAATTACAATTATTCTATACACATTTTATAATATTATATTAGATATGCTTATAATATTAATATGTAATACAAATTAACAAAAAAAATTATCACTCTTTTGCTTATACGAGAATAAAAAGTGATAATAACGTTGTTAAATATTTAAATATATAATAAGAATAGAAAAAACTTACTTAGACATAATGAAAATAATGATAAACAAACATATGTGACATGGTGACGATGAGGTACAAACAGAGAAAAATAAGTATATATTGATATGATAATATTTTTACATAAATTTCATTTTTATAGTTAAACATAAAACTAGTAAAAAAAGGAAAAGAATTTTTTATTATTATTATCAATAGTATAGTAATTAATGAATTAATTAATTAATATAATAGTTAAAATAAAGAATATAATATAAGAAAGGAACGGTGAAAGAAAAGAAATCAAATAAAGAAATAACTTGCCTTATTTAAAAGTGTATGACTTTTTTAATAAATATTTAAAAATAATAAATATAAAAAGTTATAATAAGTTAAGGTATTAAGGAACGTTACTTTAATTATCAAGACTATTAAGGAAATTGAACAAAAACTTTTGGACTAATAAAAGAGAAGAAACTGAAAAAACGTAGCAAAACATAACATAATGGATTTGATTTGAGGAACTTAACCTCTTAAGTTCATGCATGTGTAGTATGTGAAGAGTAAGGAATCATGTGTGTTGAAGAGTAGGTGAATAGCATGTTTTGTTCACTTTGGTAACTATTACTTTCTGATACATTGTATGCACACTTGCCTATATAAACCACCTAGCACCTATTCGTATTGCATGCTCCAATTCACTACTCTTTATTTGTACGTGACTTCAATCCAATTTGTCAGCACAGTTCTGCCAAACCATGGTTATGTCAACAACCATTCCCTCCCCCACCAAGGCTCGTGTTCTCATCATCGGAGCAACGGGTTTCATAGGAAAGTTTGTCGCTGAGGCAAGCCTCCTCACTGCACACCCCACCTACTTGCTTCTCAGGCCACCTCCTCTTGTCCCTTCCAAGGATGTCATTGTCAAAACCTTCCAAGAAAAAGGTGCCATAGTTATTCACGTAAGTCATAACATATTCTATCTTCTCTCTCGCTATATACTGTCACATCTTGTGAGTACATGAGTCAAATTTGGAATATGAACATGTTCATATTTTTCCTAGGATGTGTCATGTCATGATTCATTCTTTTAATAGAACATTACTGGTGTTGTGTTTGTTGTAGGGTGCGATAAATAACAAGGACTTTATGGAAAAGATTTTGAAAGAGTATGAAATAGACATTGTCATTTCTGCCATCGGGGCTGAGGGCTTGCTGGATCAGCTTACACTGGTGGAGGCCATGAAATCCGTTAAGACTATTAAGGTAACACTAATTTACTCTTTTCTAACTTATTATGGCAAGTACCTCATTTTTTACGGTTAAAATAATAATAAAAAAATAGTAATGCTGATGACGCGTTTCATTTAGTATAGGTGCTATTGTTTTTTTCTGTAATATGTTGTAACTATTATTGAACAAATTAGCAAAAACGGTTCATGTAGTGTGAGTTATGTCTACAAGGTCTTGATATCACCTTTATACATGCATAATAATAATAAAAAAGAACAGTAGTGATATTATTATTATTATTATTATTTATAATAACTAACTTCCACCAAAAGATGTTCAACAACTTTGGTACAGAGAGTTTCTTACGTGTTTGAACTAATGTTGCAGAGGTTTTTGGCGTCAGAGTTTGGGCATGATGTGGATAGAGCTGATCCCGTGGAGCCAGGTCTAACAATGTACAAGGAGAAGCGATTAGTTAGGCGCGCGGTTGAGCAATCTGGGGTTCCATACACCAATATTTGTTGCAATTCCATTGCTTCTTGGCCTTACTATGACAACTGCCACCCATCTCAGCTTCCTCCACCCTTGGATCAATTGCAGATATATGGTCATGGCGATGTTAAAGGTATAACTGAACAAAAGCAACCACTATTGTATACATTTTTTTCTTCAACTAGTTTCCCTAAACTGGGACCATTTTTCTCATGTTTGCAGCTTACTTTGTTGATGGCATTGATATTGGAAAGTTCACAATGAAGGTTGTTGATGATGTAAGAACAGTCAACAAAAATGTTCATTTTCGACCATCTAACAACTGCTACAGCATCAATGAACTTGCTTCTTTGTGGGAAATGAAAACTGGGCGTACAATCCCTAGAGTGACCATATCAGAAGATGATCTTTTAGCAGTAGCAGCAGGTTCATCATTCATCTTTTTATGTCTCACGAAATTAACCATACCAATTTCACAAAAATCAAAATATCGAATTCTTTTGTCTCTAACTCTGCAAAGTTTGATTATACAAAGTATCATTTACATGTGCAGAAAATTGCAAACCCCGAAGTATTGTGGCATCTTTCACTCATGACATATTCATCAGAGGTTGTCAAGTTAACTTCAAGATAGATGGAGTTGATGACGTTGAGATTAGCACGCTTTATCCCGATGAAGCATTTAGAAGTTTGGAGGATTGCTTCGAGGGCTTTGCTCTTATGATCAACGACAACACTTACAAAGTGGAGCATAAAATTATGGCCACAAAGTCTGTACTGGAAGCAGTGCCAATCACAGCTTCCTGTGGATAAGATTCACCTCCTAAGATATGTTTTAAATTCGTTATTATTAGATCAATTATTAGTCTTTGGTGAGGTCGAAATTTAGATATGGATTTGTTAGGTTAACGTTATATCGAAAACCGTATTATTATTATTATTATTATTATTATTATTATTATTATTATTATTATTATTATTATTATAATAATAATAATATTATGTATTTATAACTGGGTATATTATACTCAGTTAATAATTATTGTAATAATTATTTTTTCATTATCAAACAATTGTGCAACATTTTTTTTTAAATTTACGATTGATAGTGATAGAACTATGTCCCACAAGTTGTATGATTTACTCAATTTATGGACAAGAATGTAACATAAAACAACGGCAGAATTGGTCTCCGTGTATGCTTGCTATCCATCAGTCAAACCGTCAGAATTACAAACAAGAAATGAGATTGGACGAAGAAGTTGCAAATTGAAAACTAACTCAACATGTGATGTAATATGTTACAAGCATAGAGGTTCCACGTCTTTACTTGGATGGATACACATGTTTATTTATTTCAATCACATTACATTGGAGATCTTTAGAAATTTTTAAGATGAATAATATTTTCTCATCAGAATTATCAACTTGGTGCACGAAATGTATGCAAGTTTCAATCTTAAAATAAAAAAATTAAAATAATTTTTTTAAAAATAAATTTTATTATTTAAAATTAATCTTTAATTTATTTTTTATTTTACAATTAAACACACACAAAGTACGGGTATATTTAAAATAGAAGAAAAATATGAAAGATGAAAGTTGTTTTCAAATATTATTTTTTTATTTATTTATTAATCTTCAAACACTAATTAGGAAAATTTTCACTTTTAAAAAAAAAAAAACAAATTTTCTCGAGACTCCATATCTTTTATGAGCAATATGTTGCTTCGATTAATTATAAATCAATTGATTCATGATCAAATCTTTAACACTCTGAATTTTTAATACACTCACTTAAATTAGTTCGGGTTTTATAATTATGCTTACGAGCAAAACTATTTATCATGATGGATTGACTAAATAATTTTACTTATCTATTGTTTAATAGTGTAAGTTAAGATTGTTATTTCTATTACTAACTTTGGTCAACACTTCTGATTTTATCCTAATGTGAGTCTAGTTCAAAATGATACGAATTGGGTCTAAACTCCCGTAACACCTTTATATTATTTTGAATGCATGAATGTTTTACAAGGAGTTATAATATTTCAAAACTTAAAGTAATATTAACCTATAATTTATATTTACACTTATTAACGTAGATTTAACATATTAATGATGAATTAATATTACGTTAACTCGAGTGAAACTAAATTTGAAAACAAAAATTGTGATTGAAAAGGAAAATCCTAGTATAATACAGTTATCAAATTTAAATCGTCAATCAAAATTAATTAATTATCAACAAAAACTAGTAAATAATTCATGATCATAGCATGATAATAGTTTGAGTAAAAATAATTATGAGTGTAATATTTATACATTCCACTTGAAAGCATACAAAATTCACTAAAATGTGTTTACTTTTAAATTCCGACAATTTTGTTATTAGTTGTAAAAAAATCTTAACTAAATACTAAAAATACCATCAAATTTCATTGTTATGTTTGAAAAATCTTGAGAATATTAATTGAAAAATTTTGCGTCTCCGTTCATTTTGGAATGAATGGAAGGTAATCCAAGATTTTTTAGGTGCAGAAAAAAAATCTCTCTAATAACCTTCTACGTTTTGAAGAACTAAAAACTTTATAGAATCCGATTCTGGAAGCAACTCTCTTTTCAGGGCCCAGTTCCTTACAACTCTGAGCGAAAGCCGATAACATGGGAAAAATCTCGCAGAAAAGCATTGTTTGTCATTAAAATAGATAAAGTACAACCCCAACCAAACATTCAACAAGTCTTTCTTGACTATCGTATTTGTCCTGACATTTACGTTTCAGTTTTTCTTTTCCTTTGTCCTTGAGAGAGAGACATGTTTCCAATGGCAGGTCCGATAGATTTGACCTAATGGTGGAGGGAATTAGGTAAAGTTTTAATCTAATCCACTACGTTTTATTTAAGTGTTGTCTGTGTAATAATACAACCTGTCTACAAGTATAATTTATTAGTTAACTAAGAGTAGCCAATGTTAGCCAATGTGCTTGGTTTAAAGTTGTTACAAAATATAGCACATATTTGGTCTATCAACGACCATTTGCTTAAATTTGTTACAAGTTTTACGTGGCCAATGTGTTTGGTCTAAAATTGTTAAAAAATATATCACATATTTGTTCTATTAATAATCATTTGCTTAAATTTGTGTCATTTTTTATTCTACATTTACAACGAGGTGTATGATCACCTGACTTTCGATATATAAAGTACAATTTTTTTTCTTAAAAGGATTAGATCCATTGAGACGAAAATTTATAAAATTGTTATTTTTTTCTTATAATCAAGTTTTTTTATCGTAACTTTTTTTGGAACTAATTTATCTTTTACCATATTTGTCTTAGTTGATAACTGAAACAAACTCATTAGATAAGACTATTTAATATCTTCTAGCAACTTGTGATACTCGTTGATCTAAATCTTGATGTTCTTGTCTTCTAGAATCTCCCAGTAACTTGTGATATTTGTTGATCTGGATATTGATGTCCTTGTCTTCTTGCATCTCCCAATGGTAGTAGTTTCCGATAACGAACATTTGTCGCATTATGTCCTCAACCGTATCTGAGAATCAACGAATCCCAAATATCTTTAGCTTCCTTATAGGAACAGTACAGTACACATCGAACAAATCATTAAACAATGCACTAAACAAAATGTGTCAACATACCTTGTTCGAATAAATTCAATATTCAATTTGTTTAACAAAAGTAATAGAGTCAAGTTTGATTGTTATAAGAGCTGAAATCACTTCATACATGTCTAATAGAGTAAGAATGCATTCCTATCATTGTCAGAAGTTTTGTACGATAAAAACTTCAATTTTCAAAACGTTGGGAAAATGTTACACAAAGACAGTTTGAGTTTTAAAATTATTGTTTGTCTTTTCCGATATAGTATTATTATTAGTATCTATACTATTAGCCATAAGTCCTTAAGATTATTGTAAAAATTGACAAAGATACATAAAAACTTAATTCCTGATATGTGTAAAATTAGTGTCTTTAAAAACTTATCCGCAAAGTATTACACAAGTCTCCCAGGATACAACAAAAATTTTCTAGATTTTTTTCGAAAAACTCAGAAACTAGCAAAAAATTATTAAAAGAGTGTATAAATCTAAGACAAGAGAAATAAGAGGGAGGAAAAGAGCATATGAGTGATGTGTCTTTAAAGAAATATGAAATAATCTATTTATGAGTGAAATATAGATAACATACTCATCTTCACATAACAGTCCACATACATAGGATGGCAAAACGGGTAAAGTTCAGTGGGTCAGCCCGCCATAATATGGCGGGACGGGTTGGTGTTTTCAGCCCACCAACCCGCTTTGGCCCACCTCGCCAATCTGTCGGCCAACCCGCGACTCGCCTAATTAATAAAAAATAATTTTTTATTGTAATAAAGTTAATTATAAAGATAATATATAAAATTAAAATTTTTAAAAAGAGAAATAAAAAAGTTTCACTCTCACAAAAAATATTCTCCTTACTAAAACATAAGCCTCTCTCTTGTTATCCTTATTCATCCTTCTTACTAAAACACAAACTTCTCTCTTGTTATCCTTATTCATCCTAAACACTAATTATTTTTATCCTTATGACTTAAATTAAAGGTGTAAAATTTACTCAACCAAGAATAATGTGAAGTTTTATCAAATAAAAAAGATATAAATATTTAAAATTTTCAATACAAAAAATATAAATTTTAACATTATATATATATATATATATATATATATATGTTATTATTTATTATTATATAAATTTTATTATTATTCTAAATTATAATTTCTTAAAACAATATATTAATTTATATTATTAAATTAAAATAATATATATATATATATATTAAATTATTGACAAATAAATAATAATCTTATTATTAAATTTATTAAAAAATTTGATTTTAAAAAATCAATTATTTTTTTTTAAATTATGGCAGACCAACTCGCCAACCTATTCCTTGATGAGGCGAGACCAAAGTCTACAGTCCATCATGACTATAACGAACCAACCCGCCCCTCTTTTGGCAGGCCAAAGACGAGGTGAACCAAAACGGGATAGACTGACCCGTTTTACCATCTCTACCCACACCGTTGTGCAACCCTACGTCTGAAATTTAACAACCACATTGTAACAATTGAACGAAGATTTGCATAATGGAGGGATGTCGTTGTCCTGAACCTAGACATGCGTGAAAGAAGTGTGCTTTGCAACTGTAACTAAGACTCGCTGATGGTGTATAGTATAGGTTTTGCAATATTTTTCTCTTTCTACGACACTTAGTTCAAAGAGTTCAATAATCAACTTGCATTTTCGGTGTAGAAAATCTTCACAGTACCAAAATTCAAGACAATATAACTATTGGTAATTCCTTCAGAATTGCAAGAATGCACTATGGGGGGCAGAAATGTTTAAAGTTATATACAACTTCTGGTCTTCAACGTATCAAACCTATGAGAGACATTGATACTTCTCAGAGCTTGCTTCGTCTAAAATCACAAGCCGGATGGTCAGTAAGATACCTATACACTTCATTTCAGTCTACACATCATATACAGGCATCCTTTCTTCAATGGTGCCACGGCAGACAGGGCACCTTTTACATTTTTCGCAGCAAGTGCTATTATTCACATTGGAAAAAAGCAAACAAGAAACCATCAGTATCTTTAAACACAAGTCCCTCATAACATATTTGCATGCAGTGAATATACATAGATTCTTTACAATGGTGGAAATTTCCTCATTAAAAATAAAAAAAAAGGTGATATTGTCAACCTCTATCTACTTACTTCAAACATTGAATATGGGGCCATTTGATTTCAGATAACGCCTTCTATTCTTAATTATTACTTCTATTTATAAAAAAAATCACCTAATTTTTCTTTGTTTCCCGTATTCAAATCTCTGTTTCAGAAACAAACAATTTTTTTCTCTGTTTTCACTATTTTTAATACAAACTTTTCAAAGCAGAACATAAAGTGAATATATGATGGCATTTCTGTAATGAAAAGTAAAAGCAGAAAATATTTTCTCAAAAATCTCCTTAAAATCCCCGTTTTCGGAGCTTGAGTTTAGAAAAGTTGATTGGAATAGGTAACAGAAGAGTATTGAAGCAATTGCAATGCAAGGGCTCTTACTTGCAAATTATGTGATGCCTGCAGGGAAGGAGGACCACATTAATCTGCTCCTCGAAGCAAATTCTACATAAGATCTTCTCCTGATTATCATTTCAATTTGAAGAGTGTTAGATCCCGATAAGCTTGACAATCCTTCAAGCACAATTAATGAGCAAAAATAACAACCTCATCACAAGAATTTTGGTGCAAGATTGTTATAATTTGCACACGGCTTGCAATAAAAAGCCAGTACAATTCATATCAGCCAATGTCATCCATCTAAATCTTATTTTGTAGTACTGCCAAGCATGCCTTCAAACATCAAGATATTCAATAAAATTATGGATGTTGGTTCCTTTGAGTTTAAGCAACAAATGCTACACAATTTTTCCTTGTCAACAGGGGTTCATTTAATGCAAAATTCTGAGTGAGATTGAGACAATGGTTAGCTTACTCTAATAAATGATTTACTTCTACTACTGTAAAAAGTAGGAAATATATCAAATGATTGAGAAGAAAAATATACTTGTGAAGTTAACAACTGCTTCTAACTAAATAATGAAATTAAAGGATAGGATCATTTAAACCAATCACAAGTTTGATTGTCCAAAAAAAACTAAAAGGATCAATTTAGGCACAAGCAATTTTAATTAAATTTCAATAACTCAGTTCAACAAGTTTTAGAATAAATTCTGTGAAAACAAAGCAGGAATTAAGACAAACAGCACTAAACCCACCACCTTCCCACCAAGTAAAAAAATCCACAGACCCAAATGACCAATGAAACTGAAGAATATACTTTCTAAAATTTTGATGATGTACTAAACTAATTAATTCCTTAAAAGACCAAGACTTGGTGGTTACATGTACATAATGCTAAAAACAATCAGTCAAGGTTGAGAATGCTACATTTTGAAGTCTTTCATACTCCTCCTGGCTAAATTTTGTAACCTCTGTCTGCTCACCCAGTGCAGCTTGTAGTCTCCAAATCTGCTAGTTATAAAGAACAGCGATTATAATTGATGAAAAGAATTACACCTGCTTGTGTAAATTAAGGTATTCTTATAAATAACGAAACAATATTATTCAAAATGTATTGGTAAAAGTCATCACCTCCTCAACCAGATCTGATCTAGGCATTTTCTTCACTGTTTCAGGGGTAAAAGTATTATACCTAAATAGTAAATCAAATGACATCATCAGAGAAAAGTTTTGATTAACATTACATACTTGTGAAGACAGCAACAGTATACGAGGCATATATTTAATGTCATAAGAGTTTTTTGAGAGTAAAAAAAGAGAAAAATCAAAGCTTGTCTAATTTCAAGCACACTACAAACTTCGCTAATTTTTTAAAAGATAATTGTTCCACTCCACAACTTCGGCCTTCCAATGCGCAAGCGATAGCTACAGCATTTAAAAGCTCTTCTTAAGCAGGGGAAAAAATGGCTTTTGACATTAAAGATATGCAATATTAGGGGTGTCATGAAGGGTAGCGTACTAACCCAGAATTCCCAGAACAAAAAAGTCTAGCTTCTTCCTCTTTACTTCCTTCATCTATTGACCACCAACCAAGTAACCTGTTAAGAGGGAAAGTGTAGGCAATGACAAACTGTCCATGTCAATTCAGACACTTTTTAATGTAAATTCAGTAGAGCATCTACCAAAGACAAAATCCTTTTTCTAGTCAAACAGATCTAAATCAATACCTTGACCCACGTCGAAAGAACCCAAAACACTCACGAGATTTTGATGCTATAGCAGAGTATCTTTCAGGAATATCTCCACTGTAGACTAAAATAACTATCTTCTCTATTAATCTATATGCTGCAAATAAAACCCCAGCTCCTTGCAACAGAAAAAGTGGTGAAAAAATGATCCAATGTTGCAGATTATTTGCACTGGATGGTGTTCCCTACAATTTAAATGAAAAAAGGTACAAAGAGAATAAAAAACTAAGGAAACCTACAAATTCCAAGAACATATTGACAAGATTTTTGTTTGAAACTATCATACCTCTAAATGCATAAAAAGAAGTATTTGAAAACCAATGAATGGAATTTTCATTATATGCCCGCCAATATCCTGCAGATTGCAGAACCCATTTTGCTGCCTATCTTCATCTGTATAAATAACTAAGCCTCCTCTACTCATGTCTAAGTATCTTATGGTATTTGATGATGAACATGGTTCTGTGACGTGACAGCCTCCATGAATAGTTGGATTGTGCCACTTTGTACAAACAAGAAAGGCAAAGCACTGTGCAATCCTGCCAAAGAACACATTGATTCTATGAAGGAAATGGCACAAGACTTATCCAAATTACTTAACAGTCTACTATAAGATATTGATCATACCCATAGTTAATAAATAAGTCCCACCAGCCTAGGGCAGCAACATCACCTGCAGGTAATTGAAATAGAGTTAGTCGCAAAAAGTTTGAGAAGTATCAATCACAATCAGCAGTGGAATTTTACAAGGAATGTGATCAAAGTAACAAAACACCATGAGACCACACTGACAAAATCAGACATACAGTGCATATTCGGTTACACATAACCTTGTTTTCCAAAGCCCCTTCATTAATCCTATCTGTTTAAGGGATAACCACAGCTCACCCTAATTAGAGGTATGCCAATGTGATAGAAACACATCGGAAAGTAATTTTTTATTCTTTTCAGGTCTGTAAATAAAAACTGTTTGAATATATGTTCATACTCCAGGATGTAGTATTCATTGAGTCTTTGTATTAATTGAAGTATTTAGATGTAGAGAGGCAAGAAACAGGAGAGAATTGATAAAGTTGTATTTAGATAGTAAGAACTAGCTCCAAGTTAACAATGATATTAGAGAGAATAGAATCTCATTATAGACCGACAAAAGTTTTCAAGAGAAACTTAAAACTTACCACATATTTTTAGAAGGGTGAACACTGTGGCAGCAATCAAGAAGACCATTGATATTGAAATCCAGAAGTGCTAAAAGAACAGAATTATACAATTTAGTATTGAACTTATCAAAAATAAAAACAAAAGAAAGATTACAATCTACCGAGTATAACACTTAAAAAAATTCCAGTAGTAGACCGATCTTGAATAAGGTAATGTCCATTATAAGGTGAGAAGAAAATAAAAACAAAATAAACATCTGAATGCAAGGAAACCATCAATCAGTGTTATAAGGCATAGAAAAGGTTAATGTGAAGACACCAATACTTCCTAAGTACACATATATTCCAAGTGTGAAGTTCAATAATTTCCAATACTCACTTCCTCCTAGATTAAAAGAAAAGAGACCACATTGTAGAATGTGCAAGTGCATTGTACTACTGCCACAATGCAGTGTCTATCCATTTCAACCAGGTAGCATTCTTCCATAACATAAACCCACACAAATTACGATAGACTCTTCTTCAAAACTACAGCCATGCATGGAGCACACCCACAAAAATGAGCCGTAGAATGTTTCTAAGGCATACCACAAAAAGCTATTTATAAGAGTGAAATCTGAAATATCATTCAACTTGAATGTTTGATCATCAGGCATTGAAATGAATGCCAAGAAGGATGTCAACAGCCAACTAATATATGAATCATTGAAGAGTCACACACACATCCCACTTGATAGACATAAAAGGTATAATAGTCAATCCAGTGCAAAACAATGACAGAATAAAAAGGAAAGTTAAAGTTTCTTTATATTTATAATAATTATAATACTTGAAGGTTCTTTTCTTTTTTTGCTTACCAAAAAGAAGAAACAAAGAGACTTGAATTTTGAACACTGATGCATTTCACCAAAAATTTAAGTATAGCCTACAACCAAGGGCTTTAAATTATGGATATAATCACAACCTTATTGCCGCTTCACATTCCCCACCCCTCTATGGACTAATAATAACACTCTAAAATTCACCGAGGATTTGAATATAAGTTACTTGAAAATCATCAAAATTGGGAATCTTAATTAAAATGCCATTGAGGGTACTTATTTAAGTAGTTTCATTGAGGGTCCTTATTTTTTCTGCCACTGATCATATCACGGCTTAATTAATCAATCAAATAAAGAATAAAATCTTACAGGAAGAGTTTCCCATACTGCTTCATCGGTCAAATTTTCATCATCCCCAGGCATCAACGCCCTACACATCCTATGAAAAGACATTTTTGTCAATAAATCATCTATTAGTTAGAGGAGAATAAAATAGTATTGCAGCTTGCACAATTGATTAAAGCTACACCTAAGCACATATTTCCTTACAAGCTTTTATGTAATGAAACTTCTCAACTATCAAAATAATCAGTTAAAAGCAGACTAAAAAATGCAAGTAACTTTACAGATCACTCGATGAAGTTATTGTGGTGATTCTATTGCAACCGTTTTTAGACAGTGCCATCTAATATTACAGAAGCAGGAGGACTATGAACGGGTTAAAATATATCTGCAAGCTCCTTTTGAACTACTTCAATATAAATTGTGGTAAGCTTATAAATGGAACAAGATATTTACCTGATGTTATCAAACAAAACCACCATTTCGAAAAATACCAGGGGCATGAAGACAATCCTTAAATTCATCACTACATCATTAAAATGAATAATATTTATTTTCGTAGCATTGTACAATTAATAACTAATAAAAGAAGTATCACAGTTTATCTCGGTGTAAAGATACAGTGATCAATAAAATCCATTTAGCTTTGCCACAATAAAATGTAGCCTACCATAACTGCTCCCGAGATGTATACAAAGAAGTAGCTCAAATGCAACGAGTAGTGGAGTTGCTACGAGTGAATGAAAAGGAGCCCACTGCCCATAAACAATTTTATTTTTAAGTTCAGTAACATAATCCTACTACAATTCTATTCTTTCATAAAATAAGAAATACTTTCAAAGAAGTATATCTTACTCGGCGATCATGAGGAATCGAAGGAGCAGGCAAGGAAAACCTGCCTCGTGCCACCACAGCATGAAAAAGCCATAGAGGAGAAAATACTTTCCTGTCAAAAAAGATATGTTACAACATAGCTATAAATGGGAAGAATATGTTCTACCTTCTTAATCTATTTCTTATTCTCAATATACAACATGAGATCTATTACCCAAAACTCCAACCTTCAATAATATTTTAAGACATGATTTGAAGGACTTGCTGATATGACACTTGCCCATGATTAACACTGAATAAACAAATGTTTATGTTCAATTCAATGTTTGGCATGACATAAAACATAAATATAAACTGACACACCCATACATATTCCCATTTCCTGAGGGTAACAAATTTGACAATGTTATTGTTGGTTTAAATCACATGGTACCAGATCTCAGCAGGACAATATATCATGTCAAATGAAAAAGGAAATGTCATGATTTTATTACTATGAGTAAAAGTTTCATTCAATAAAATCCTGTAGGCTCTTGTACAATCATAATCTCACACATGCATGACAAGAATAATCATTTCGTGCTCTAAACCACGGACAACTTCGAATCCTTTGATGATTATTCTCATAAGCACAATTTGATTGGGAACAGTACCCATCAAAGTTGTGATTATTTTAGTGAGGCAATGGTGAATATTGGCATAACTCATAATGTGAATGTATCACTACTACTTTTTGAAAATCTTATCAATTATTAGCATAACTGTAGAAAAACATTATTTTGTAACATAACAAAGTTAAGAAATGAGGGGATAAATTACTTAGCACTTGAACAAAGCGAAGTACTTTTTTCATCCTTATTTAATCAATCAACATGGTCAGTAGAAGTATGGTCCATGTTATTAAACTTACATATAACAATACATCGAAATTGTAAGTTTTCTCTTCACTTTCGTCTACAAAAAACATTACACACACAAAAAGAATACAGTTCCACAAAGGGAAAGCAGAACCGAAGGTATCTCAATTCCCATGCAAATGAACAAAAGATAAACAGAATAAATATTAAGTATCAGTAGCTAACACAACAGAAGGACAGTAGCATATAAGGTAAGCAAGTTTGCCTTTCTAAAAGAATAAATAAATCTTTTCCCGTTCCTCTCAATGCCAATTTTTTTCTTCAGAATTAAAAAAAAAAACTCTGCATGCATTGAAAATCAAAAGGGGAAAGCAAATTAGCAAATGGCAATTCATAACAAAAATAAAGAAAGACAGAATTTTGCTCCGACCCTTAGATTCATAACCACAATTTCTAAATTGGATTATAAAAAAAAGGAAGTGTGTGAATGAAGAAAGAAACAGAGAAAGAGATAACTTACCACCATGTCCATGAATAAGGAAGGAGATGGTCAAGCTTGAGAGCAAGGAGAAGAGTGAAAGAGAAAAGCAAAGCATGAGCTACCAGGGCTTGCAGGGCCTTCGCCACCCTTCTCCAACTCATCACCCTCCTCCGAACCAGCATTTTTTCCGGAGAGAAGAAAGTAAAAATAACAATGGACAAAAGAGGAGCACTTTCTGACACCCCCCACACACAAACAGATACAGGACCAGAAATTCACGTCTCTCTCCACCGAAACTGATGATAAAATATCCCAGAGGATGCTACCAAAATTCCTCGGAGGTTGCAAAGAGAGTGACTTGGGAACAGCCTCAACTTCTTGCGTTACATAAATCTTTGCCTTTTTTTAAAACATTTTTACTCTCTCTCTACCTTCTCATCTACGCTAAAGAAACGTTTCTATCCAATGACAGATTTATTTATTATATCTTTATGTTGATGTGACAGTGAATGGACGAAAATACCCATCATTCTCAAATGGAATCAAGTTCGACAGAAAAGTAGAAGACTGAACCAGGAATTTTATTAAGATGAATTCAACAACAGAGTTCTAAATGGTGTTTATATTTATTTACAAAATGCTTTTTTAAGGAAAAGGAACCCATTTAAATTCTTTCAGCCTGATTTCAGATTTTCTGTTGACAGTGAAACGCGGTGTAATCTCGTCTAGATCCATGAGATAAATACAGTAATATTTGATTTCTTTACTATTTCTGTTTTCTTTTTCATCTTTTGACCACAATATTAATTGTGACAATTCATCTATATTTGACTTTAATTCAATTCCATTCAGTTTCTGCAAGAGTGGTTTTTCCATGACTGACTTTATGTTATTGTGTGCTCAACTGTTGGTAATTTTGTGCAATTGAATTGATATATACTAGTTTGAAATTAATTTTTTTTATAGAAATTATTTATTATTTTGAAAAAACAGCATGTGGGTCCAATCTGATTAATCAGATAAACCAAAATTTAAAGGTTTAAATACTTTTTTTATCATAAATTAATTACTTTTGTTCTTATCTTAATCTTTTTATTTTGTTTTTATTCCACGCGGTTTGGTTAGTATTTGAACAATAAAGTCAAATGATATAAAAACAGTTTAGATAAAATAAATAAATAAATTTGACCATTTATTATAAAAATATATATTTAATCCAATATTAAACTAATATGAAATATTAATTCATGAAATGGTTAAGTTTGGTATAAAGAGATAACTAAGGGTGGGTGACTTGTCCTTTTTTAATTTTCTTATTTTTGGGGTCAATTAGTGAAATTTGATTCCATATATTCGTATCTTATTCCGTTTCTATTCTCAACTTTTTTTTGTTCTATTGGTCTTTATATAAAAACTGAAAGGCGTTTTTTTATATGTAAAAACTTTCTCTATGGCTTAAAAGTCATCCATGTTATTAAATCATATTGTTTTTAAGGATTAGTTTGAGTTGGTACGAATTAAAATGTATGGGGTTGTTTTATTTATTGACAGGATACTGTTCAACATGTTAATATAATGATGATTGTGTTATAAAATTATAGTAAGGTTGAAATGGAACATTATTAAATAAGAGTGTACATTATTGGTTAAGAGGGTCAAAACAGGATAATCATCTTTCTCCTACATTCTTCCCTTTTATTACTATATAGTATAAGTAGAAACTTTTCTTCAAAATTTTAGAAACTTTCCATGTTATGTAAGTTAGAAAATGATAGAGATAATCTATAATTTAATTTAAGATTACATATAATTAGAGTGGTTGAGAAATAAAATAAATTCCTCTATTTTTAAATATTTTAGATTCACAACAAAACATTGAATTTTATTTATAAATAATCATTGTTAATAATTATTTTATTTAAAAATTTGTCTAAGTTTTTTTTTTATAATTTTAAACGTTTTCTTGTATGGGGTCCACCCTAATTCTTTCTAGCATTTTTTAAAATATTTTAAATATAGTTTTTGAATTTTAAATAATTCATAATAGAATATTTATTTTTATTTTAAATAAATTATTGCTACTTAAGATGAAATACGATTTTACGAACCTACCTTTTCCATCACAAATAATATACTGATATATGTAATTAAAATACGTAATTTTTATTTCATGATTATACGTATAATATAATATACTAATAAAAACATATGTAATTTTATTTAAAAAAAAAATAGTGGACATTGGATTTAAGTACAAATTTTGTCCTGCTTTTTTTTTCACAAACAATTATTTCATTGAGATTTTATAATTTTGTTTTTTTTTATGAATATAATTGATACCTTGAATGTGTGTGGAAGGTACACAGCATCTTATTACGTTACTGTACATTTGACATGTTTAAGTGACGTGTGATCATGGGATAACCAACATAGTTACGTTGATACGAGAATATATAAACGATATGAATCGTCCAATGAAGAAAGACGGTGCAAAAGGAAGGTTCCTCACCATTTGAAAAAGTTAAAGCAAATAAGGTCCAAATTCATTATATATTGTTTGCAATGGTTTATCAAACGATTGAGTTTATCAATTACCTTTCTTATTTTATAATTAAATAATCAACATTTATGTTTCAAGTTTTGTCAACGTTACTAATGTTGAATGGAAGTTTAATTCGGTAAAGTTTAAATTAAATGAACGTTGTATTATTTCATTAAATTACCGTTGCTCTGATTTGAAATTTTATGATGCATTAAATTATCATTGATTCTCATATTAAAGTAGAAGTTACTTTGTGAAAAACTTATTTATATATAAATTTAAAATTAATATTTTTTTTTAATTTATAAATAAGTTTAATTTAACTTTAACCATTCTTTAAGTTTTTGTTTTTTGTACTGTTTATTATTTTTACATTTATGTGCATGTTTTAAAACCGTAAACAAAAATCCAATTATAGGTAGGTGAGACGGGTCCTCAATCCCTTGGGCCGATTTGAGCCCATATTACAAAATTTATATCACTATGGCCCCTTTGTTAACTTTTCATGTAGTTCGTAATTGTGCTTTATCAATGCAACTTGCAATGTATTTGAAGTGGGCTTGCTTAAATGAAGTTTTCAATAAAACTTACACTTCTTTATTAGGGAGCATCTATATTAAATTTCTTTCACATAATGGTTACATGATACTTATTTTCTAAATTATTTAAATTTATTTTGTTCATATAGTTTTTTTTTACCTTTTTTTACTCATAACCTTTAAGTCTAATTTAAATATTTAGAATTGTCTAATTTTCACAATTTTTAATACAATAGTTTTTGAGAATACAATAAACTGTAAAAGAAAATTATTTTTATTTAGTTAATGGACTAATGAATATATACGTGTTTGAGTTCAATAAATTATATTTATTATTTAAAGTATCTATTTATATGCTATTTTTAAAATATTAATTTTCCTTTTAAATTACACAATTTTATGAATAAACAGCGTATAAGCTGAGTTAAAACCCGAAATTTAAATTATAATTTTTTTCATTAGAATTGATATTTTATACTAAAATTATCAATTTAGAATGGACATTATCGATCAATCTATTTTTAAGATATGCTAATCTAAATTTTTTATTAATAAGGACCTTATTGTATATACAACTAATTTAAACATATATATAACTTCATAAATTATACAACCAATTTAATCTTTTGAAATATTAATAATTTAGTTTTTCGAGGTTTTACTACAAAAATTTGGTTACATAAGAGCCATTAAATACAAAAGGTTTAGGTAATATATATAGTTGAATTTTATTTAAAATAACTTAGGAAAAATGTCAATTTTCATACTAGTGTAATTCTCCATTATGTGTAATTAGTTTAACTCATGTTAATGTTTTTTATTTTTATTTTTATGTACATGAACAATGTATCTACTACATAAATAAAATCTACTTGACTATGAAGAAAAAAATGTTATAGTATTATTCTTGCAAAAGCTCATGATTTTTAATATGCGTTGTTTACAAAAAAAATCTGTAAACATTGAAGGAAATTATGTAAACTTTAGGGTCCAACTTATATGTAAAACAATCAGAGAGATGAGTGTTTTTACACTTTATTTTATTTTATAATCCTTTCTACATAACCGGTGATATTAACTATAATAAATTAAATTAAAATAATATAAAAGTGTGTGAAAATTTAAATACATCTTTTTGTAAATGTCAAGGATTCATCATATACTGCAAGGAAATATTTACAACTAATGAATGAATAACTAGCATTTGAAATTTAGCAGTGATATGTATGATCTTAAGCTAGACTGGTTCATGTCACCATTGTCTCCAAGAATAATTTGTGTTGTGTCAATTTATGTAACTTTAATTTGAAATTAGTCTTTTTGAGTTTTTTTATCTGATAACTTTTTTGACATTATATAACTTTAATGTTGTTATGTGTGTCTTGGAAATTGTTGGACTGAGCTAGGTGATTATAGACATGGTATGGTTAATTACTAATTATCTTGTTGGGGGACTTATCACAAGTCTATTACTTTAAGAATTATTTTGATATTTTCTTATAAATATATTTTTTTAAAATTTAACAAATTATAAGAAGAGAATATATATATGATGAACTTATTTTCCATGTTAGCTACTACTTAATAAGGAATTTCTCTTCCCACTAAAATCCACTTCCCATGTACACTCCTGGATCTCTCTTCTCGGGTTTTCACTAGTAGAGTGTAGACTCAAGATGTGTCAAGCAACAAAGCACACATGTAACAAAAACCCCCCACCAAACTATCATTACCTCATTTCTTAACGATGATGATGTTGATGGAGAAGATACATAGTAATAACATTTTCCAGCACACACCATGAAAAAGAAAGAAAATGAAAAACAAACCACAAAACCCCCCAAAAATATGCAAATCGAAATCAAAATATGTAAATATATATAGCAACTAAGTAGATAATAATGATAATCATAGGCCTTTAGTTAAATAAAATTCATAAAGACCTTGGTCCGTTCTAGGACATTGATATTATATTGGTCCTTTGTCTCTTAATATTTGCAGAAGCAGACTCATCTCCTACGCTCTTCTCCATCACTGCCTTAAGTGCTTCTTGTATTGAGTTAATGCAGTACTGTTGCTGGTGGTTATGGTCCTCGCTGCCACTGCTTGAGTCTGCTTCTTCCCCAGTGATGAACAGCACGTTCTTCACACGCCCTCCTAGCGTAGTGATCTCAGCTTTAAGGGTTCTTAGCCTCAATGCTTTCAAGGTCTTGATTAGTTCAGGGAACAGATCTGACCTATCTTCACAGCACAAAGAGGCTTTGATCACAGACTTGCCATCTTCATCAGCTTCGTCCACCACTGTTAACTCATCGGCCTCCGTAGGAACCGGACTCGATTCTGCTATCAATGAGGTTTGACGCTTCAGCTCCTTCACATGCTGAATCACTTCTGCTAGCAATGATGCTTTATCTGTCTACAAGAAAGAACAGAACAAAAAGTAATTATATTATAGATATGATAACATAAAGCACTGAAATTAATTGTACAATATCATGTTGTCAAAAGAAATGGTGGGGCTTAGGAGATGTTGTTATATGAGGTTGGTAGGTAATGGTGTGATGATTGTGAAATGGAAATAGTGGGTATCTTTGAATGGTGGCAGTGTCATGCAGCATATGATAGATGAGATGAAATATTGAAAGGGGTATATAGAGTAGTGTGTGTGTGTGTGTTTGTGACTGACAAGGGTGCTAGTTTGTCTCTGGCTTTATTTCTTTTCATTCTCAAACTGAGTTTGACTGATCAACATTATCCGGCAAGAAATTTCCATGCGAAGCTTTTCCACTGCTAGTTGGTTCCTCTTTATCATGCCAACCAAGCGACATTAACGCTAATACGCTTTTCTCTCATCCTCTTTTATAACTAGTACTTTTTCTAGCTGTTCCTCGGAACTACCACACACACATAGAGACTACTCTCCGAACGCATTTACATAATTAAAGTCATTAGTGTGAAGAAATTAACCCCAAAAAGAAAAAGAACAATGTGTAAACAAAGTAACCAACTAGCAAAGCCAAAAAGGTTGGTAAAAAAAAGCAGGCAAAGCAACCGAGACAATCTTTGCACCTCATTGTCTAAAAGGTTATTATATTTTGATTTTGTTGTTTAACTTATCATGCCAAAGTAACAAACAGAATCTTGCAAAGATTTACAAACCACTCTTTGAATTGAAAAGTCCATAAAGAAAAACACATTCTTGCACTATTGTTTATACAAACATGTTGAAACACAACACGAGATTGAGATCTTTGATGTTTGTTGAGATGATTAATTACACATGCACACTAGTAAGTAATTCACGATTCATAATACGTTAATTCAGTTTAACCAATGAATTAATTTGAAGAATTAATTAATTAATTCATTAGACTTACTTTGGTTGTGCTAGGCAACAAGCTTCGCAGCTTGGCAAGATGGTTATTGATTCTCTCTCTGCGTCTCCTTTCAGCTTCACTGTGACTCTTGGATGCTGCAAGGGCCTTAGCCTCCATGATTTCTTGAGCAGTCATCTTAGCCAACTCGGTTTGGAGGCCGAAGGGTGCTGAACCGGGTTGAACGACCGGTCCAAGGGTATCAGATATGATCCTAAGGTGGTCAGAAGATGAACCATCATATGCAAACTGAAGAGAATGACCCCTTCGGTTGAACAAACTTGCATAGGGTGAAGGTTGGGGAGGGACGAGAAAAGGGTCATGCTCTCTCACCGGGTTGAAGGGGTGATGAACCTGATGATGAGGCATAGACCAAGGCTGATTATGCATGATTGGAGAGACTTCAGCAGGGTACATGTTCAATCCTCCTCTTCCTCCGCCTCCACCAAAGATATCATTGTTTTGTTGCTGCATCTGCTGCTGAAGGAGAAGCTGCTCTTGATAGGCCTGGTGGTAGTTATTGATCGCTTGAGAAGAACACTGCCCTTGATCTTCCTGTATCATTTCCCTAGGGTCTATAGGTGCTGCTGCTGCTGCTGCTTCCTGTTTTATATGGAACTCTATTGAAGGATAATACAAACTCCAAGGCTTTATATATAAGAATATTTTGCCCGGAGAGGAGAATTAATAATAAAAATAAAGAAAAAAAAATTGAGATTCAAATGTCAGAAGCTGAGGTGGGTTTGTTTTGGTTTTGTATTTGTATGCTCTATTCTTTGTTTTGTTTTGTTTTGTCTGATGTGAGAAAAAAAAAAGTTGGTTTGGTTTGGAAGAATAAAGAGTTCGGAGAAGTTTGCTTTACACTTGCACAAGGAATAAAAATGAAAAGGGTATTTCAAGGGACAACGTGGGTTGAAAAAACGGATGGCTTTTTTCACACCCATTACAATCATGAGTATATACTTAAAAGACAGAAATATGGAAAAAGGAGAGAGAATAACAAACATAGTGAAATGATGTGAATAAATAAGAAAAAATATAAAAATGAAGAAGTGAAAAAAGATTAAAATAATTGGATATATGTGTTGAAAGAAATACCTTATTCCCTTTGAAATGTGATGACTGATTATACAATTGTGCTTTGTAATTCTATCATGCTGGGATCAATCAGTTACTTTCGTTGTTTCTTTCTTTCTTTTGTGGTGGTGGGCGGTGAAAGAAAAGTCCAAATGCTTTGGATTTCTCTCTTTCTGCCTCAATGTCAAATCTCTTTCACTTAGTAGTGTTTTTCTGCCACAAACCTTTGTGCGGGGCAATGTAACCATTCTTTTACATTCAACAAAACTTTCCTTTTCCTTCGTGCTTTGTTGGTCTCTTTTCGGTTTCTTTCTTTGTTTTTTTCGTTCTAATCTTGCAGCCTTCTGCGCACCAACACCCTCTATCATATACAGAGACTGTTTAGTGCTGCTACTTCACTTTCCTTTCTTCTTACGGCTCTCCCTATCATACCTATACATGTATGTCACCAACCATGTATGCATGTATATGTATGTGTCTTATCATTTTAGTTATCCATGCAATATCATTTCGTTACTATATTGTAAATTTATTAAATAAGTTAAATTTTGTTTATTTTATAATTAGTATAAAACTTAAATTTTAAATTATAATGGCTATGTATGTGAGAGAGAGAAAGAGCTAGAGATAGGGACGGGAAACACAAGCAAAGCGTAGTGAAGGCTCACAACACAGATTGTCGACCGACCAACGACCAAAAAGACTGATACTATCATCATGAATGCTTGCCCAACCATTTTCTTTATTCCATTAATAGTATTGTCTTACTACTAATTAATTTTGTTCAAGATAAAAATTTAAATTAAATTTATCACTAACCAATATTTTAAGACACATTAAAGTATTTAAACAAATGCAAATACATAAAAATACAATTTTCTATAAAATTTAAATACGTTTATATATATTTTTTTTTCAAGATTTATCCCCTTTAACAAGATCCTAAAATTTAAGCGATGTTTGATAATTAACAAATTAAAAGACCAACTTACTTAGTCATATTTTTATTAACAATTAATAAATCATACGATTAAGATAATTAATAAAAATCAATTTTATATATATACTGAAGATAATGGTAAACAGATTAGAAAGAAAAAAACGAATTAATCCTTTAAAAAATATACAATATTTAAAATTTTCAATATATTTTCACGATAATTTTATCTGTATGTCACTTATGAAAATGTTGAAAGGAAAAAAAAGGAAACTCATCATATATGATGCTCTAATTTATTAATGCATTTGATGTGATAACTTTAATAAAAGAATTTATTAAGTGTTTCCTTAACTATTTTATTTAAAATGAAGATTAGCAAAACCCAAAAAAAGCTGAATGTATTTAAATTGAAAAATTATATTACAAAGTCCTTTATATTAAATAAAAACAGATTTAATTACACTTTAGCTCCTTTAAATGTAATTGTGTATGAATGATATTGTGCTTTAGTTTTTTTTTTAACTTCTTATTTGTTTTAAATGTATCTAATTTTACAATTAACTAAAAAAATATTAAAAAGAAAAATGGTAAACAATATGTTAAAAATACTGATTAATTTATTTAAGAAAATATCCTTGGTACCTCGGTCAAGCCCCCCACGTTCTTCTATACTCTTCCTATGTCCACGCCACCCTTTCTGCTTCCCCAAGACCATGTAATCATTGTGTCTTGGAACACACTCCACCTCTCACTCCTCTCTCTCTCTCTCTCTCTTCATATGTGTCTTGGTTTCAGCTATGTACCCTGTTCTTTTCAAACCTGTTTATGACAAAATTAATTAACCATATACTCTAACTCTACTACTTATGATCCATGGTCCAAGGACAAATAAGGAAAACAACACCATTATTAGACCCATATCATAGAGTAGTGGATCTTCGAAATGCCTTCATTTTTACGTGCCATGCTACTACATGCCAACTCCAAAGATAGCCCAAGCTTAAAGTTTAATCCAAACTCAATTTCAGATCATTGTCACTTTTACCATATATTATTATTACTAACGCATCATATTGCAAATCAACTCAGATGAAATTAATCATTCCTGCACGTCAATTTTGTTTTCTCACTTGGCCATTTAAATCAACAAATACAAACCATTTGTTACTCTTTCCTTCACAAAGCAAAAATGCATACTTATACGCTTGCTTTGATGTGTAAAACGAAGTACGATTAGTAGATGAATTATTGTTCAAAATGCACATTCTCTCAGAATTAACATAACCATGGATCGATGATATTAGTTGTATAAAACTCATATAGGAGTATGATCTCAATTTGCAAATCTCTTTGTATTTTAATTCAACTTTGTTTCTATTTCGTTGACGTAAATTGACTTGGAGTTAGGAGACACGGCAAAGGGTAGCCAATGACGTGGTTTTACAGGACAAAATTATTTTGTTTGTTAGCCAAAGAAAAATAATAATAAATTTTTTGGTGAGTGAAAAGAATGCATAAAAAATATGTCACTTTGAAATGGGTTGGTAAGATATTGTCCACCAGAGTGTTACAACTTGAAAAGGCCACACAGCACCAAGGAATGATAGATGTTTCCATTTACTTTTGACAAGTGGCACAGTTTATCAAGCTCCCCATATTTTTCTCTTCTTCTTTCTTCAAAAAATCAACCTACTTTTCACAAAATTAGTTTAATTAGTCACCCATAAGCAATTTTTTTTTAAAAAAGTGTTGACTTTTAACATCAAATAAATTGCAAAACAGTCCACTTTCTAAATCTTTTCAATTTTTCGAAAAAATAAATAATATATAGTAGATTAAGAGTGATCAAAATAGTACTTGAATTATTGTAAAAATTTGGTGTATGGATTTTTTAGCAATAATGTTAACGAGAGAGTGTGTTGGCATTTGTTGCATTGCAAAAAAGAAGTTGAAATTGGATGTACTGTGTTGTCTCTTTTTATGGGTGGTGGTGGTGCATGGCGAGAAAGAAACAGGTAATTTAGTAGCCCTAGCTTAAAAGGCAAGTCTTAGATCTCTTCACTGGCAAAGCCTGCAAGTAAAATACACGGTTCCATAAGCAGTTTGGCCATCAAAAAGTAAAACAAAAATCATTATAGCCTCACACATTTCATTTCCCTATTCAACATTATAATTGTTCAGTGTCAACACATAATCACACACCAAATTAATTCTAATATATATATATATATATATATATATATATATATATATATATATATATATATATATATTTCAAAATAAAACTTTACATCTAAAGGTTTAAATTACCTATTAAAAACGGACGGAAACTAATAAAAATATGAATTTAGATGAAAAAACTTTAATAAAATACTATTACTTTAATTATTTTATTGTAATATATGAAATAATATTAATAAAATAAAATAATGCATATAAATTTATAAAATTTAAATTAAATTTCACTTAAGTGTTAAAAGTCATATAACATATAATAAAGGTGAATTATATAGGAGAGTAACAAATTTAATATATCATATTTTATTTTAATAATAACAAATAAAAATAATTAATAATTTAAAATCTTTTGAAAAAAAAAAAAAAAAAAAATTTGAAGTCAACCGGTTTATCCTTTCAACCGACCGATTTCATCCAGGTTTGACTTATAGTTAGAAATGACTTTCTAATTGACCTTAAGATTTCATTATTTGTTAAATATATGTGAATTTTTTTAGTCACTGAGCCCGACGATTTAATCTTTGTATATATCGATTTAGCGCATTAATCACTTGTTGATAAAAGTAAGAAAGAGAAGCATTAGGAAAATCTATATATACTAAAAATAAATCACATAATTCAATTTTTAAACTTAAACATTAAAGTCTAGAGTCATTGTGATTATATATTAATTAGTATAATAATTTACATTCACATTTGTATTTTAATAATTTACACAAACGAACCAAATTTAATGGAAGGTTTTACATATTCAATCAATTAAATTATACTTCGTTGCATATGCGTTAATTTAAGTGGGTTTCTAATTATTTTTTAAATTTTTTTTATAACAACTTCCTAAAAGAAGCATATTTTATTAAGTAGTTTTATTCTAACACAATTTTTTATTCTTTGAAACTTCTTATTTCCTTTTCGTCCTATTGATGTAAAGTTTCTATCAAGAATAAGTGAATAAGTACGTAATTTATAATGTATATATAAAAAAGTGAAACACAAACTTTATTAGCATATATAAATTATATAAGCAAAAGTTTTTTAATAAACAAAACATATAATCTAATCCACATACAATACACTATCTGGGTCAAATTAGAGGATTGAATATAGAAAAAATGTTGCAAAAATATTTTTTAATCATCAGTATTTATTGTCGTAAAATCCTTGTTAAGAAAACCTTGGATTATTAGATTTATGTCTTTTGAGTAATTAGTTTGCATCAATTTATGGATGATTTTTTTTTTTACATAGCACATGCATACTTTACTATATATACACTAATTAAAAAAATTAAATAAATAGTCCTATATACTCTATTTTCTTCGAGTTTAAATAAATTATTACTCCTAAAGTTAAGATCTATATTATCAGGTGAAAGATTTAGAATAATTTATTCAAAATCAAGTTTTTTTTTTTTTCTGAATTCGAAATTTTAGGGATAATCAATTATTAAGATAGCAATTATTTATGTTTTAAAGAAAAATTCACAATAATCACAACTTAAATAGCGTACATTTTAAATATTGCCAAAGTAAATTTACATTTACAAATATATTTCTTTGAGTAAAAAAGATAAAGGTGAAAAAGAGAACTTATTTTTAACACTTAAAAAATCAATAATTACGTAATATTTATTTTTCTAGTCATGAATCCGTATATCATTCTCTATTAAAAGTCAAATTTAAGCATTACAATTTCTTGAAATTACGTTCTTTCCTCCAAGCAAAAAATTAACTACCGAGACTTTATAATTTTATCAAAATTGAAACATCGATAAAGTTATCTTCATAAATCCTTACTTAAAGGGTGGGTGGGGTTTGTTAATTTTGGTTTAAATAAAAGAGTACCGGCCAAACATTATAATTTAAGATTATTTTCCCTACTTAACTTTTCCCCTTCTGACATAATTAACCCTGGTTCAGAACAACATTACTGCATAAGTAACACAAGTAGATGAAACACAACATTTTAATTGCAAGTACACACAACCACATTACTATGTCTCCTCTCAGGCATCCTTTCACTGTTTCTTCAGGGAAAGAGGGTTATCTTTTTCTAAATTAGGTCAGTCACTAGGCACTGTTTTCTTTTCTTTCTGCAACTTACTATTAATATGCTTCAGCATGGAACCCCTTCCTTTAACCTTTTTTTTTTTTTTTTTAATTTCACTTAATTATATAATGTTTTTGCTGTAGGGCATGGAAGCTTATGAGAAAGGGTACTTGTTTTCTAGGGCACTTTTGTGGTCATCACACGCATGTCTGCTTCGGTCCCATTCTTCTTAGCTTTTTATGTTCCATCTTTATATATATAATTAATATACCTTTTCATATGTACATGTTTATTTTATTCACAATAGTTTTGTATGTAGTGTTAAGAATTTAATTTTAGAATGAAGAACCCTATTCAAACATTTGATGATAGCTGCACCACCACTACCAATTCCATAACCCACGAGAAGCTCCTTTTGAGTGGAGTCTATGATGACATCAGTCCCACCCTGTCATGACGTGTGCTCTTTCAATCTTAGTGCTTATGCCTTCTTTACTTATTCTGCTCTCCAGCATTCACAACCAACTCCAGCAGACTTTGGCTTTTCATTAATCAGTGATCATTGAATATTCTTCCCTGCCTTTTCTTTGCTATCAGCACAAGATTCATGCATTTGTGTCAACAAGTTTCTCCACAAAAAATATAAATTTAAAATTCTGCATTTGGGGCGTGTATATATATATATATATATATATATATATATATATATATATATATATATATATATATATACGTTTTTCTCATTGAATATTGATTATAATCACCAAAAAAGGCATTACCAGATAGGTCGAATATTGCAGTGAGATTTCTAAATTATCTGGTTGTTTAATTCTACTCTGATTTGATTTTTCATATTATTTAAAGCTTTCTTTTCTACCTACAAAGTTAAATAACACTTAGTTGGTACTGGAGCAATGGGAGCACTACTTTCAAGTTTGAATCAGTGTGCATCGTTCTGAGAAGAAGCATTGGATAGAGATTACTTTGATTTCTCGTTACGTGAAAATCTCCATCATACCAAATGATGATTAGGGTTGTTTGATTACAATTCCAAAAAAAAAAAAAATCAAGATCAGAGTGTGGGCAAGTATACATTTACATGAGATTTCTGTCTTTTTTATTTAGTTTTATTTGGACATTGCGAAATGATTAGGGGTGGTCGTCGATAGCATTTGTAATTGCTTAAAAACATGAATATTAGTAGCGAAAATGAGGAAGCATTGAGCGTGTGTTTATGATGATGGCTTGTTCTATGTGATCGTATCATGTTTATTTATTTTATCAAGTACATTTCTTAATCTCACTTGAGATCAATTTATTCAGCGTGAGCTACATTCCTTGAGCACAAAACCAGGTAATGATGTTAAAACAAACTTTACTATTATACTTTTCTTCCTTTTCCAAAAAATATTGGTATGATCATGACCATGTGGCAAGTTTGAGCAGTGCCATTTATATAATTCCTACACTCATAATTAGCTATTGCACAAGTGTTTCTATTTGAGTTTAATAATGAACTTATTTTTCACTACTTTCAATTGCAATTTTATTTCATAAAATTCATATATATTAATGATATCAACACTTCTATATATATAATGAAAATTTTATTTTATTAAATAAATATTATACTGATGTAAATCAATTTATCCTTTTTTTATCTTTATCTTGTGATAATTTTTGTGCAGTTATAAGCTTAAATATTGGATATTTTATTTTACCACGGTTAGATGATTCAGATGGTAATTGCAATGGAAAATGAGGTGGCACTTACGTAACACAATTAAGCTCTATATATAGAGATTATAAAATATTTTCTTTCCTTTTAGATAAACATGGACTACAAATCCTTGGTGCGAGGAATGACAATAGATGATGGAAATCATATTGATTATATTAGCTGTATAAATATTTTTATAATACTTCTTTATAACACTTTTTATCTCACACTAGTATGTTAATTATCTTGTTCGGCACTTTTTTTTTTCTTATCTTTTTATCTCTTCTCTGTGTAAAAGGAAAAACAGAACAAATATATTAGAAATACAATTGTCAAATGAAATCGGGGTATGTGTCTTCATTTGCGTTTCATAAATGTCAAGATAGATACTTAGCCTTATATTGGTTTGTAGTGGAATCTTCAATGGCTAGTTTTAATTTTATCTGCCACCAACTACGCACAAAAGGAAAAAGAGGACCAAAGGTAGCACTTGATATATTTATGACGAAGCATTAACATGCCAAAATAAATATGTTTAGCCCTAAAATAAAAAATACTACCCCTTGTTCACATCACTAAAGGAGAATGCGTGTTAAGAATAATGATGTATATATATATATATATATATATATATATATATATATATATATATATATATATATATATATATATATATATATATATATATATATATATATATATATAGAAATTTTTATAAATCAAACTTTTATTTAATATTCAATATTTTTAATATTTCTATCTTCTTCGCACATTGTATAACTTATTATTATTATTGTGCACTATTTTCACTTTCTTTCTTTAAGCCTTAAATAACATTTAGTGTTAATTGTTATTTTTGGTGACATGTAGAAGTTTGGAGAAATTGAGACTTATCGAAACAAACTTGACATCGATCTCTTAATTAATAAATTAATTAAGGGTTACGTTGAATAATGCAACACTGAAATCACATAGCTGCGATTAATTGATTTCATTTGATTAAAACACAATCCATTCTAGTAGTAATTGATCAGTCCAATGTTTCTTTGCTTTTGCTTGTGAGCTACAACTAATAATTATATTATAATCGATGTTGAAGAAATAATTAAGTAAAATAGTAATGATTAGCCAAAGTGGAGCTTCTAAGCCATGCTTGTTTTTCCTAGTGGCATGTGTTACACTCATACCTCAGTGCTGGTCAATTCAAATTTGTTTCCGGGAACCCTTAAGAGAATGGGAACTGTAAGCGGAACTGCACCATTCTCATTTTCCATTTTCTCAGCAGAAGACTTTGAATTTTCTGTATTCATAATGATTTATTTCAAACTGAGATCAATTAACTCTCTACTCCATTTAGCATTGATCAACTGATGATTCATATAGTAAGCAAATGAATGTTTCCAACTGTATACGTATATATACATTTGAACTCTTTCTAAACTGATTTGCACAGGTAGCGTAGCATTATATCAGGTTACTCTTTGCAAAACTTAAACATGAACTCTTCATGAAGTTAAAATTCTTTTATATCACAACTAACCTTGAAATTCAATTCATTTATAAATGCTGTGACTGTTAACATACAAGTTAAACCATCCTAGCACACAGAAGTTAATTTAAACCAACCAATTCTAGCTAGATAGTATCATTATATTCCTGAACTGTTCCATGTATAGTTTACAAAATGATCAATATAATCTTGACCATTGCTCATCACGTAGCAAGAAAGTAAATATTAGATATTATTGGATGCTCAGTTTCGTCCGGTTTCAATATTTAGCAATCGAGGATTCCATTGAAGATGCCGGTGGTCCCAATAAAACAACTAGTGTCCACGTATTATACATTCAACATATCCTAGTGTTTGTGTGTGTGTCTGCCATAAGACACAAGCGTTTATACAATCAAACAAGCACTTGAAAGTTGTGTGTATATACATATACATGTCAGTGCTATATATTCTCTTTTTACGTAAGGTGTAGTATTGCATTGAATCAAGATGCTTCCATTCGTTCATACATGCATATTTGCTTCCATTAAGCCAGTTTATAATATATGAATAAAAAACCCAGGAACTTGTTTTCACTTTCATCATTTTCTTAGACTCAGACCACTATTAATTAAGTCAACACAAAGGAGAAGGTCTGGAGTCTCGGTTAGTATATCTTGCTAATAAATTAAGTACCAACTCACTAAGATTATTTATTATATAGGGCGCAGTAGTGCAATCATTTCATAGCAGAGACTAATTGCCCCCATAATAAGATTTCATGAGGTTGGTTAATATGAATGGAACGCATGTATGTATCTAAGATTTATAAAGAAAAGCAATGTACACTGAATCTTTCCCTCGGGAATTTCTCATATCTTGCAGGATTGAGCTAAATGTTTCTTGTTCTAGTATATATGAATCACATGTATTTGGATCATATCAAAGTTAAAATACTTACAGAAGGGTCTTAGACTGAGTACGTGAGCTGCTGTATAATGTCCTCTGCACTAATCTTCTTGTTATTCTGTGGTACAACTGTGCTGAATTGTAGTATCTCCAATCTTCAACAAAATTCTTTCCCTGTAAAAAAGAGATTGTAAAAGGGTATTTATGAAGAAAAAAAATAATGAAGGCTAAAGTATGCTTTACAACCTTAAAATATTTTGAAATATTTTAGCTTAATATTATAAAAGTTAATATATTTTAATTCCTTTATCTATCAACAGTAATGTGATTTTAATCCTTTTCTTGTATTTTTTTTAGAATAATTGTAAAAATTAAAATAAATGTTTTTTATAGAAATAAAAATAAAAATAATAATAAAGAATAAAAAATATATCTTAAAATAATTATAATAAACAAATAATATATACATACGTATATATTAATTTTCAATTAACGATATTTACATATTAATTTTGACAATATCATCATGCATTAATATACCTATACACTACTGGAAACCTAATTTTTTTCTGCCAATTTTTTTGCAAAAAATTGTTTAAATTTATAGAAAAACTTATTTCTTGCAATTTTTACAAAAATTTTGTAAAAATATTCCCATGAAAAATGAGAATTTTTAGTAATGATAAATATTAATTAGGGTTAAGTATGTTTTTACTCCCTATACTTTCATGTGAAATTGAAAATAGTCTCTCTCGTTATAGTTTACGTAAAAATAATCCTTATACTTTTGAAATGATTGAAATAAGTCCCTATTTTAAACGGCGTTAAGTATATAATGACCTATCTAACAAAAATGATATGACTCATTTATTATTTGACACAAGTAATTATTTAAAAAAATAAAATAAAATAAAATTAAAATGTGTCAAGCTTTTAAAAGTCATTTAAATCTGCATTTATAACATTTAAAAGTCATTTAAAAAGAAATTTTAACTTCTCTGTCATTTAAACTTTTCTACCTTAATTTTCGGAAATGAAAACCCTAGTTATGGTATACCACCGTCACACACTCGTCATTGTGTACCACCGTCGTACTTGTCAGTCGAACCACAACGAATCGATGGAACCCTCGAACTTCAAAGTCACTCTAACTTCATGCAACCTTTACAGGGAAATAAAGAAAAAACATTTGGTATGTGACGAGAAAAGAAAAGAGAATGAGAAGTGGTGTGACGAGAACAGAAGAATTTTGGTGTGTGAGGAGAAAAAAAACTTCTACTTTTTAATTTTGTTTTTTTTAAATAATAATCTCAGTTTAATAATTTCTATTTTTTTAAAGAAGAGTTCTTATTTTTTTTTTAAATAATTACACGTGTCAAATAATGAATGAGTCATACTATCCCTGTTAGACAGATCACCATATATTTAACGTTGTTTAAAATATGGACATATTCCAATCATTTCAAAAGTATAATAATCATTTATGTGAACTTTGCCAAAGTGACTATTTCTAATTTCCCATGGAAATACAGGGACTAAAAATATACTTATCCCTATTAATTATAATAAGCATATTTTAATGCTAATTATTCAAAAGTAATAGGTTAGTTTCAAGATTAAATTTACACATTTATTAAATGTTGATATTAAATCAGTAAAAAAAAAGGAAATATTAATTTTAATACAGACCAGTTTTTAAAATGAAAAAGAGAAACTTATTTAACTCTAAATGAACCAGTCTTATTAATTCTATGATGTTATTAATTAAAAAGGGAGGCTAATTAGCGTGTAATTTATTGTTGGTATTTTGTTAGCAATTTAAACACATTGGATATTAGCAAAGACATTCGATCCCAAATAATTTTGGAAAATAATGTATTTGGTCTGTTTTCTTAATCACGACATATAGGTAAGATTAATTAGCATGACCTCATGTCCCATAACTTAAAAAGATTCAATTATGAAGGTTAAAAAATAGTTTTACCCATTCCTAATTATATTTAGGATATAATAGTTTGAGTTTGACTATAATTATTATCTACAAAGTCAACCTTTTGTAATAATTATGACAATAGAGGAAGATTAAAGTAAAATCATTTCATTAAGATTAAAAAAAAAAAAGTAACACTACTTAGTGCTGAGCAGTGACATTTTTACTTTTTATTTTTTATACATTGTTAGAAAAATCACTTCAGATTTTAAAAACATTAATTGAAGTGAGAGATTCTAATGCATCATTGTTAAAATTTAATGTTACATTTGACTTATGAGGAAACTACACTCATTTTTGGTATAAAAATATTATATAAATTTTCAAAAAGTTTTGCCAACTTCAGAAAAAATTATTCAGACCTATCTATTATGAATAATTAATTCTAACCTGGTACATCCTCCTCCTGATTCTTTTATACAGTAAAAGTTAAATGTGTTTTATATTTTTAAAACGTACTACTTTTCTAAAAATTATTTTACTACCTATTTAAACTAATTGTACATTAAAAAAAAATTTAATCTTGTTATTAACATAAAATTTGTTAATTATTTATATAACTTTTAAAATTTTACCTCTAAAGTTATTGAGACTCATCATCTCACTATTTTATTTTATTTAATTAGTTAGTATGTGCTTGTTATTTTCTACAATTCTTATAGACAATGAATTTATCATATTAATTTATAGCATTTTTAAAGTAATTAAAGATATTTTGATATAAAAACAAAACTAAGACATATATTTTAAGCATGGTAAAAAAATTAGATTCCAAAATATTATTTGACATGAAATATTATTAAAAAGAATAATAATTAAATAAGCTGGAATAGCTCAGATGGTTAGAGCGTGTGGCTGTTAACCACAAGGTCGAAGGTTCAAGCCCTTCTTCTAGCGTTTTCTATTTTTTTATTTCATTTTCCAAATTTTTTTATTAACTATTGGGCTTCTGTCATCAAATTTTGGGCTTTAGTAGAGACTTATAACTTATTTTCGGTTATTTTTTATGGCGTTTTTTATTTCATTTTCCATATTGGGCTTCCGTCATTATCCTTTGGGCTTTAGTTGCATTTATCTTTTGACTCTTACTATTTACACTTCACATGTTTGGGCTTCTGTCATTAACTTTTGGGCTTTTGTAGAAACTTATGACTTATTTTCGGCTATTTTTCATATATTCTTCCAGCGTTTTTTATTTCATTTTCAATGATTAACTATTGGGCTTTAGTATTCTACGATTAGCTATTGGGCTTCTATCATTAACTTTTGACCTTTAGTTGCATTTATGTACTCTTACTATTTACACTTCTTGTTTTTACTATACACACATCTTCTTTTCTTTTATTTAAAATGATATATTACCCCATTTCAAAACACTTCTGTGATGCTCACACTCACTCACTTCGCGGCATAATTATTATTTTTTTCAAAACTCTTAATTTTCATATTTTTGAATGTAATTTTAGAAAAAAAAAGAAAAAAGTATTCAAGAAAATATTCCCTAAACTTAAATATAAAAAGGGTCAGTTTTGGTGAACTTAATTATAAGAAAATTTAAATTATGTTTACCTTATTTAATGCTACTATTAAATATAAGTAGAGTAATTTTTATAAAATACCCCTCTAATTATATGAAATAATAGAATTAGATTAATTTAATTATTATTTCTAATTAATGTGAAGGTATATAGTTTTACATATAATTAAGTTCCGAAATAGTACAATATGAAGGTAATTATGTTGAGTCACAAAACAAAAGTTGGGCTTTACAAGAAGAAGATAAACAGCCCAATAATGCAATAGCCCGATCCATTGTGTATTTTGACACGATATACAGCAGAACAAATTTCCCTCATGAAATTTTTTCTAGAAAAAAAAACTCAGAAGTTGGAAAATCAAATGAGTTATTGTGACCCACCTGCCTCGATTAATATTTTTTAAGGATATAGTTTATTTTATTTTAAAACAAATATTTGATTAATGGAAATTTTGAATAAATTATTAAAATTGGTATATTTATAAATAACAATTTCAAAAGTTAAATCATAAGCTTAAATCACAAACTAATTTTAAGAAGAAAGCATGAAATTAAAAAAAATATGATTTTAATTTCTGCAAATATGATTTTGCCTATTTTTATTTCCTGCAAAAAAAAAATTATAATTTCTAACATTTTAATTATTCTTTTTCAGTTCTTATATTTAATTAAGATTAGTATAATGTTGAAAATGGAAAATATTAATTAATATTATTAAGGTAAAATATATTTTAAATTAATATAGTTATATTCTTTATGCATGTAATTTAATTAAATAATATATTTTTATTAAATATAAATAATATTATTATATATACTGTTTTTATTTTATAACCAAGAATTTAATTTTAACATTGTATTTTTACTAAAAATAATTATAATTTACTTATATTTTATAATTCATCTTTTATATATTAATTTTAATGATATAATTTCAAATGATTGTAAAATCATTTTCTTTTCCTAACAAATCATAAACACAAATATTAACAAGACAAAAATAATAAAATATATTTTATATATTTAAGAATTACTGATTAAAATACATATTTTTTTCCCTTTTTTACGCAATTTGAAACTAAGTTTAGAAACCTCAAGCCACAGTGAAGTCATAAATAGATATTCAAACGCTAAAGTCAAAACGATGGTGAAGTTCGAATTTAAAAGACTTTGCAAACAAAAATTACCACCGAGTCAACCTCTGTGGATAATAAAATAAATGAAATTGTACATAGAATCAACAAATTTAATTTATTTTTTTAGTTTTTAAATAAAATACAGAAAAAAAAATATTTCACGTATTCCGTTTTACATTTCATTTTAAAGAAAAAAAAAACTCTTTAGAAGTTATGATTTTATTTTAACAAATAAGTAGATGTTTTTCTGTATTTATGACTTCGCTAATGATGTTTGATGTGGGTAACCAAATAAAATTAGCCGACAAGTATTAACTCATAATATTATGAATATTTAATAAATTTTTTTTCATGTTATATAATTCTAGTATTTTAACTCATAATATTTGGATAAATTTTTATTAATATTTTTTTAAAATAACTTAAAAAAATATTTCACAACTTAAATAAAAACATTTTAAAAAAGAATAAATAGATTTATCATTTTTAATTATTTCCTTCAGATGCATTAAAGTAAAAAAAAAAATGAAACGTCAGTAGATAAGAAGAAATAAAAGCTTTTGTAGTGTTAAGAAACTTTCTAATTGAAAAAAAAAAGAGAGAGGATAATGATAATTTAATTAATAAGTAAATTGTAGTTGATTTTGCATGATAATGGAGTATTTGCCAAGATAAAATGGATATTACCCCTTGTACACGTTATAATGAAGTTCGACTACTAATTAATACACTGCTTGGTAAAGATATAATTATTTCTTACTGTTAAATTTTCATCAATAGCCATTGAATGTTTCCGTAAATTTGATCAATTTTTTTACTGTTCTAACTAAAGATTTTTTTTTTTAATAACTAATATAGTAAAGTAATGATATATGATAAATATTATTCTGTGTAAAGAAGTTGGTTTGTTTATTGAGATTATAAATGAGTATGTTTGCTCATGTTATAATCAGTTTGTGTTAATATTCTTTTAATCCATCAACTCCTAATAGTAAAATAAAAAGTTTTAAGTATTATTTTTTTAAGAGATTTGTGTGTATGTAGACAATATATATTAATTAGTTAAGATTAATAATTTATAAATACTAATTCATCAAATATATTATTCAAAATTAATTTTAAAAATTAAGTAAGGTAGACAGAGTTGTACAATTTGTATTTGATAAATAATAATATTGAGTATAATTATTATAATATATTTTTTTACATCCACTAAAAAAATTGCGTATTATCAATGAATATAAAATATTTGTGGAATTTGATGTTACCGACTGGATATATCTATCGGTAAAATAATAATTAGTTACCGACGGATATATCCGTCGATAAATCCGTTGGTAATTTATAGATAAATTTATCGACGGATATATCCGTTGGTAAATCCGTCGATAAATTAACAATTAATTACCGACGGATATCCGTCGGTAAATTCATCTGTAAATTAACAATTATTTACCGACGAATATATCCGTCGGTAAAATTATATAACATAATTTAATTATTCACCTAATTAAAAAATAAAATATTTTTTATTTAATAATTTAATTTAATCATAATTAGATTAATTTATAATAATTTATTAAATTAAATAATTTTAAAAAATAAATATTTAATTATATATAAAAATATAAAAATATAAATATATAAAAATATAAAATATAAAAATATAAAAATATAAATATTTGTATATAAATATAATTTATTTTAAATTGTTACAAAAAAATTATAGTAGACTTAGTGGTTGGAGTATCGCTTTTAACTTTAAGGTATCGAGTTCAAGTCTGCCAATGACAAATATTTAATAAATAATAAAATTATTACCGATAGATTTTGACCGTCGATAATTTTAATATTTCTTGTAGTGATTCACAAGTATAAATTTACTTAATTTTTATACACTTGGTATAAAATATTAAATCATAATTTAATTTTAGGACTAAAGTTTTCATGTCATCTTTCAATATAAAGAAACAAAAATCAAATGCATAAAAAATTAAATTATACAACAATACACATCAAATAACACAATTATGTAAAAGACACCTATCTCTCTCTCTCTCTCTCTCTCTATATATATATTAGATTTTAAAAAAATGTCCTTTTTTTTTAACAATATTTGAATTCAAATTTCATAGGTAAACTTTTGAGATGATGGATTATTTGGTGTATAAAGCATCCAAGAATTTAAATCAATTATTAATAATATAAAATTATGAAAACACTATCAAGTAGTATATTATACTGTCTCAACTACACATCAAATTTATCATACAGTCAACGGATTAAAATATATAAAATTAAGAATAGTAAAATAATTTATTTTAAATACTTAATAATAATTTTAATAAAATTAAGGGATACATATATATATATATATATATATATATATATATATATATATATATTCTCATGTATATATATAAGTTGACCATTCTTATCAATATCTCATGCTTTAAGGAAATTGCATTAGTGTATATATAACTTCAAAAAATATATGGAAAATAATATAACTAACACTTATTATTATTTTTCATGGAGAAATGAATCAACAAAAACAATGATAATTGCTTTTTAAAAACAATGATTATACACTCTACATGACAACATTAGTTAAAAATTGGTAGTTAAAATAGCTACACGCAAATGTTCTAGTTTATCCCCACTTTTCCATTAAGAGGTTCGTCGTACCTTTTTAACTAGTAGTACAAATTCTTGGAGAAAGTTATTTTCTAACACAAACGTATAATTTTTTTTGTGTGTTTAAAATTACTTTTTACTAAAAAAAATGACGCAGACTTTTTATTTCAAGAGCAATTATTTTGATTAATTTTTCTGTTTTGTTAACTACATGCTACATATAATTAAGCACACTCGCTAAATAATTTAACTAATTAATTATTTAATAAGTTTTATTAAATAAAAACTTATTCATAAACTTTATTGTGAAGTTCATTAAAATAAATTAAAAAAAATATAAAAAATGTAATAAGGAATGACTTCTGTTAATTGAAATGGAAGTTCTTCAAAACATTCTCAATAGTTAAAATGTTTATCTTCATAAGAGGGATTGATTCATACTGAGTGCTTAATTCAATTCCTTTTACAGGGAAAACCTCCCAATTATCCATAATATAGAAAAAAATAAATAAATAGAAAGATGGAATCATGAACATAATAAATACAAGAACATAAAAGAAAAAGCTAAAAATAATAATTACAGTGCCTCTTTCTAAATTACTTTTTCAGATACTTTGATCTATTACTTTTTTTTCTTCACTTTTATGCAACAGTTAATATTGTATTGTCCCCTACCTTTGTCAAATAGTTCTTAGATTGCTTTGCCAATAGAAAATGTGGATTGCACATTCCCCACCCTTTTATTAAGTTGCAATACACTCAAAACCAGCACGGATCTTTTCTTGCACCCAATCATCTCTCTTATTTTCTTTCATATATTTTTTTCAAAGACTTAGCCAGAGGAATAAAGATATATGGTAATCTTAATTATCCTCATTTTCCCCTATGCGTCTAGGTTATAAAAGAGAATAATAATAAGTATAATCATACATAATTCCAAGTTTGACATGACATTATGATTCTAAAAGTTTGAGTTTTTTTTTTTTCCTTTATTTCTAAGGAACTTCCATTGAGGAAGTGTCTACCTGTACCTCCTATATTCCTCATTCCTCTCATTGAAAATGAACCTTAAAAAAAGTTGCTAAAAACTATGAGGTTTCAGGAAAAAGTCCAATTCACACACATTTCAACACTCCCCCTACCAGTTCTCATCTTAAACCCTGATCCACCAAATCCAACTTCTCAAAACTCCTTCTGCTAAATTTCTCTCTATCTTAACACTTTCCTCCATATCTTCCCATGCTTCCCCTTCTCACCCTTTGCCATCTCCTTCTCTTCCATCATGGCCTTAAAAATCTCTCAACTGCTTCACATTCTTTTGCTGCTGTCTCTTCTATTGCTAGTTTTTCATGAGTATTACAATCTCAAGTCCAAGATCAACGTGAAGCAGACCACACAAGCAACTCACTCAATACCATCATCTCATCACCTTTTAATGAGCAGAAAGTTTCTAGCAACCAAATTTGACTTCTCTCCTTTCTTTAAGCACCATCATGAACACCACCAACCGGGTGCTGATGATCCTTCAGACACAGAGATTGATCCACGTTATGGGGTTGAGAAGCGTCGTGTGCCAACTGGTCCAAATCCATTACACCATTGATCATGGGTTAATTCTCAGTTCAACCAGAAATGTTTGGTTTGCAGAAGAAAAAAAATGGTTAGTAGTGGAAGCTTGATAATGATATAACCTGATTCATATACCACTAGATATTTTTTGTTTTGTTGATTAACTTTCTTTTTTTCCCATTTCTCCTTTCGTGGTCTATATTGGAACCAGAATTCGATCAAAATTGACCAACTTATTGTGTATAATATATATGATCATCATCATACTGTCTGCATGAGATTGTTCTTGTATTTTAGTTTTTGAGTCCGAAAGTGAATACTATCGATTTTGGGGTTTTCAGTGCATTTGATTTTTTGTGATTACCACGATTTGCTGATTTCGTCAACGTAAAGATTCATGAAAGTTATTCAAAAAAGGAAACTCATATTGAAACATGAGTAGCTGAGACGGCACAAATACTGAAAACATCCTAGTTGGAGCAGAATAATGATATATAATAATAATATGATGTGTTTGGTTAGCGTCAAAGCATGATATCTCTCACGGGAGTGAAGATTAATAAACACACTTTCCCATTGCAAGTGATCGTAACCTCGGTGGTTGTGGTTGAAAATGTGAAAGGATTTACGGATCCAACATTGGATTCAAATCTTGTCTCATGCACATTTTTCTTGATATCTCTCTCTCTCTCTAGCAACAATTCAACATAAAAGTTTTTGCCAACTAAAAAATATATGGGCGATTGATTTTTATAGTAACTTATTAGTGAGTAACTTTTGCATGGTATATGGTATGAAGCTATACTGGACAAAAAAAATTTGTGCTTTGTATCAGTGCAAATGGAAACTTACACTTTCTAAAACATAGTAAGAATTTTTTTTTTTTTTTTTGTCTTGTACGCTCAACATTTGTTTACTAGATTTTAAGTGAGAAACAAATACGCAACTAATTATGAGTTTGGGAGTTTTGTAAATTTTGTATGGATGATATATAAAAGGAGGAAGCATGTACATAAGCAATGATGGGTTGTTTCCTCAATAACATTTAGAAGTACTTTATATGTGTGTTTTTGTCAATGAGACAAGTAACTTGTTTGATTTCTTCAAATGAAGATCGCGGAGTAGATGCTGATGAAGGTAGATATTGTGGGCCAAAAAATGTATCCTCGGGATTAGAGGATTATGATATCAATATATCTTCATCATCACTTTGTTTCACAATAATAAGGAGTTTGTGCCTAAGATATCTATATAAATACTTAAACACTCTAATAACTTCTTATATGTTATATTGTGAACCAGCTTATTTATTACAGTCCTTAAGATAATTTAAAATGATTATTATTATTATTATTATTATTATTATTATTATTTATAATTTCTATCTATTTGGTGCAAATAATATTTATCGTTTTAAATAGAAAATACAAGCACACTATGTGATTCATAAAAATCAAATCAATCAGCAGCCGTCGAACTGTAATTTTTCAAGATTTTGAAAATAAAGAAATCCACCCACCCACTCTAAGAACTTTAAGATTTTCATAAAATTAAATTTCAAATAATAATAATAATAAATAATTTTAAAAGAAATGGAGTCCAAAATTATTTATATATAAAAATTATATTTCCTCTTAAAACATGTAGTAATGAAAAAGAGATTTTAATTAAAAGAGTTGAAAGTAAAATCATTTTTAAAAAATAAGTGTAAATACATTTTATGTTGATATTTTCAAAAATCAATTTTATATTGTCAATAGATAAGTCATTATATTTTTTTTCTTTCGCTTATTATTTATATTTTATATGCACCCTTAAATTAATTTTGAGAAAAATTAAACAGTTAACAAACGAAAGAATCATAAAAACTAGTTTTCATTTAATATAAATAAAGATATTATATATATATATATATATATATATATATATATATATAAATAATAATTTGTTTTTTAAACAGTTTGTATACCGAGCTTAAATTTATGATATATATAAGTTAGGGTAAACAAATTTATTGTCATTAAAATAATTAGTGTTGACATAATTTAAAAAATAGTTAATGAGAAGATTATTGACATTTATATATTGAGAAAAATATATAATACGTATATAGAGGCATAATTAGAATCAGATTTAGCAGAATGAGAAGATTTCCTTATCATGATCTTTTTAAAGTGGTGCTTTCGGATGTTGATGTGTGTAATTCATTGATATGATGAGGGAGAGGAAAAAGGTGGTGATACTTGATGTGCATAATGCACCATATTCTAAATGTACGCCTCACGCTTTCATAAATTATACACCTACGGTTCATGTTTTTTGTTTGACATTTGTTGTTTTTTTAATCAATAGGAATTCAACACATGTAACCTACTCCACTAAACTCAGATACACCTTTGATTTTCTTTTCTTTTCACTTATTTATTTACATATAAAATCACACGTTATTAAATATAGATTAATTTTTGAAAAAATATTTAATTATTATATTTATTTTTTTACTAAAAATTATAATATAAAATAATAATTATTATTATTAAACATGTGAGTCTTTACATAACTCTTCCTATTCTATACAATGAAAAACACATCAAAACATTAACATATTATGAGAATATGAATATAAAAAAAAGAAAAAAATTATAAAAATATTAAAATTTATACCTATTTAATACCATATTATCTATAATTGAATAATTAAATATATTTATTATATATTATTTAATATATATATATATATTAATACGAAAAACATTTTTGTTTAATATAATAAATACCAAAATTTTGAGAATACGATGATTTAAAACTACTGACTCTAAATTATTAAATAAAATATATTTTAAGGGTAAATTATACTATTTTATACCATTAATAATATATGTGTACATATCAAACAAGTAAATTGTTCCAGCATTTTATACAGGAGGTTGGAGTAGAACTGAAGGAGAGGTAGGTAATGATAAGTGGTATTAGCCAGATATCGCACTCTCTGTCCATTGTTACACACCATGGTTACTTGATTCCAATTTCCCATTTGTAAAGAAGATCATCCTCGTGTTTTATGAGCATAAAATTCCTTCATTAATTGTCTTCATATTTTTAGAACAAAAAGCTAATAAAGCATGGAGTATAGGGTTCTTTATATATGTTTCCATGTATAAGAGTTTTTCATTTTTAAGTTACATGAGGTTGAACTCTACATTATTTAGATTTTCTCCTTACTTAACTATTTAAGTTGTCTACAAATCAGAATTTATTTTTTTTAATAGAAAATGATATGATTTTATGAAATCATGTACTGTTCCTCAAATTCGTGCTGAATCCTATTTACGATAGGAGCAATTTACAATTCAATATAATTTCTTTTCAATATTTTTTGAAAATAAAGTCAACAAATATATTTATTAGATTAAAAAAATCCTATTTTTATGACAAATGGTATTATTATATGTGTACATATATGTAAAATAGTGGCCATCATGTTATAGTAGAAAATAGTTGTGATGATGCTGGTTTTCACGTGTTAAATGATGGCAAGATACCATTCATGTTACCAATTCTGAAATGCTTATAACTCGTTGACAGAAAACAAATAACATGGATGATATATTATGTATCCATATATAGAGAGACAACACTCTAGTTGATAACTACGTTTCCTCTATAATGACTAAAGCTGTTTCCCTCACATGTCAACCCAAGAATTAAGATCAGTGATTTATTAGAAGGAGTAAATATAAAAAGGGTTTGAACACTTTTGGATTGTACCCAAGTATAGAAATAAAAAGGGTTTGCCGACTGTCCGGATTCACTTATTCAATGAGGCATGTCGTTGTCAAAACTGCATTTTGAAGTTTAGACATAAGCACTTGTGATGTAATGTAATGGTTCCACTGGCATTGTCAATGGTGTTGCAATTCATGGAGGCAAAGGGAATGAGTATGATTGCAATTCGTACACAATAACTACCCACAAGATGTGGAACCTTACTTCATCTTATAACTCCCACTATGTTAAGGAAAATATCTATATTCTCTGTTTTCAACATCTTTACTCTCGTGTTAATAATCTCTTTTAATTTTTCTTAGGCTTAATTCAACTTAATTACTCTTTCTTTTAACATATATAATTAATTGTGTTGGAGAAAAAAAACCCCTACCATTATAATGATTCTATTTTTATATGGTTCAAGTGGAATTGTTTTAAGAAAAGGATGCATGTTTCTATTGAAAAAAACATCAATCAGATCAATTTAATTTGTTAATGATTACAAACAAATTCGATGCTTACTTTGGAACTCTCACTTTATAACCACAGGGGACAGAGAGAGAGAGAGAGAGATTGATAGTGTAGTTCGATTAATTAAAGTTTGCTAATGATCTGCATCTGGTAATTAATTACCATCTAATTAACCTCCAACGTTAACAATTAATCATGCATTTTGGTTAAGGTGGAACAATCCCGTAGATTATTTTGAAGCAACAACCTAATTTCTAGGAATTCCAAGCTTAATCATATCTTACCAAAAAATATTATCATTCGATGACTAATTAACATAAAAAAATTAATTTCAGAGATTTTCTCTAACAAAAGTTAAATTATTAATATTTAGTAACATAATTGAGATTGAGCTACCAGATATTTCACCAAACAAAGCTAACTACTATTTTCTTATATAATTTATCTAATATTTTACTTTAATATGTATATAAATTATTTTTTAACTTTGGGGAAATTTTTTTTTACCTTTTTTTCTTCTTACGAAAAATCTTGTTCAGATATTGTTTATTATTAATATATTTAATTAATATTAATGTAATACGTACATCATATTAATTAGTTGAAATTTCAAAGATTACAAAGACTAATATCATCGAACAATAATGTTATTATTATTTTTTTACCTCTGTAAATATCACTTTTTTTTTGTCGTGCATATTTTATAAATTCCAAGTCATTTAGTGCAATCACCACTGATAAAACAGTTAGGTATAATGGAAACAATTAATCTTTCACAACATAACGAATCAATAT